ACACACACACACACACACACACACACACACACACACACACACACACAGATATATCCAAACACACTCATTCCCTCTTGTGACAAGTGCTAAACACATCCCTGCCTCTACAGGGACTGTAGGAGAGTTGCATCTTGGGTAATGTGTCCGCCAGGTTTCAGTGTGGAGGATGATTACAAAGAATGGAGAGAAAAAAAATCTTTTTTGTTTTTGTGACGCATTGAGGGCTGTTAAGGTAGAAGACCCAGATAAGACATTTTTAGAGCCGGTGGGTGTTGGTCGTTTCCGAGTTTAATCTGGCACAGGAACACTTATTTTTTTACTTGCTCTTTTAGAATGAATGTTTTGTTAAAGATAAAGATAGACTTTATTGATGTCACAGTGGAGAAATTCATGTAATGGAGCTTTTGCTTTTTCAAAAACATCCACTTTTTGAAAAAACTTTTATCCTAAAGCCAGCAGAGCATGTGTGTTTTAAACACACATGGTCTTGTTGTTTTGTAAATGACTCCTCTTCCTCATCTCCTGCCCCTCAGCGAAGCCAACGCCTTCCGTCTGCTGCCAAAAAATCCACTTCCTCTGTAAGCTTGTTAAAGCCGCCTCTGAGGATCTTGTTTAGTTTAATAAGGTTTAAACAATAGCAGAGCAGAGGGAGTGGAGGAGATAATTGGACTCGCAGTTTCCGCACAGACACAAAGTTCACGGGGGGCCTGTCCAATCGTCTTCTCTCTCCGGATTAGGACATTTCTGCCCTTGTCGGATATCTCAGTGGTCTTTAAAAAGTAATCCCTTTTTCTACCTGTTGCAGATTCATGGCTCAGCATCCAGAGATGGATTTCTCTAAGGCTAAATTCAGTTGAGGCTCAACGTCCAGAGTCCAGCAGAATCCCATCGGTCAGAAATCGGGCAGCAAACGGCATCCCGGCTCATCGTCTCGTCGTCCTGCGACCGACACGCTCTTTATTTCCCCCGACTTCCACCTCCGAAGCGCCACAGGTTCATGTTTGTTTGCAGGATTGTGTTTTGATAACTGTAAAGGCGACGTTTGCATGTGTTCTTAATTTAAACATCAGTCCGGAAATGTCTTTTCTTTTTCTTTTTTTTAAATAAATGTGTTTAAAATCCAAGTGCTCGTGTTTTCTGTATAGTCTACACAATGTGACACAAAGGAATGACAAGCAAGGCCTTATCTGCCAAATTTTTAATTTTTAATTTTTTTAATAGTACCTACTCAGCTCTGCTCAACTATGTAATTTTTTTAATTTATTTATTTTTCATTATTGGCTGGCACTTCTTGACGGTTACAGTTTTAGCCCCTACTCCGTTGGGGTTCCACCTGAGCCAGGCACAGATGGGCCAAGAGTCACTCCAGCGCATGGATCAAGAGAACACCAACTATTTTAAAGGCAACTTCATAGAGCTGATTTCTTTATTTCTTGTCAACAAAGTAAATGGCTACTACCAACCAACACAGCAGATCAGTCAGTACATGGTTTCTACAATGTGCCTCGTTGTTGTCTCGTGCTCATGTCGCATGCAAATGGCATCACGGGCTGTTCAGCCCATCTCTATAGCAATATCTCATTTGTAATGGAAAACCACCCACACTAAGTAGAGCTCAGTAGGTACTAATAAAGGCCCCATTTGATAGTTTGAATTTTCTTTCAATTAATTATTATTATTAACCGATTAGATTAACAGTGTGTTGTATCTGGGTGACCATTTAACCCAAACTTCAGGAGTATAATGATGATTTGTCGAACCAGTTAATGTCAAGGAAAGAAGAACATGATGTGCCCAGTTAGTAAAATTGTTTTATTTCCACACACAAGAGGGCAGCAGAGTGTTTTCCATCCTGTCTACAGGAAGGCCTACTAGTACTTTAAACTGGTTCAGTTTCCTGTTAGGCATAATCCTTTAAATCTGATCTAACATTCAGAGTAACGTAGTTTTAAACTTTTAAAGTTTAGACTATAAGATTGTATATAACATTGTAACAAGAAGTCTCCAGTCAACAGACCCCAAAAGGAACAATAAGTTAGTAAATGTAATGAATTAATTTCTGATGCATACCTTTAAAAAAAAAGAAAAAAAGGTGAAAATCTGGTTATTTTTAGTACTTCTCATTTCCCACACAAAATACTGTTGTTACCACAAGAAAACTCAAATGATGAAATAGTTTTTTACATTTGAAGTCATAATGAATGAAGAACATTTGAAAGGTTTAAAAAAAATTGCAAGCAGGAAATTGAGTTTGACAGTTGTTTCATTTTTGTATCCACCCACTGCTGATGAATAAAGCGGAATAATTGGTGAATAACCGAGATCTACTCAATGTTACAGGTTTTGAACAACGCTAACATGATAGCTACCCTTAATCAAGTCGCAGGGGGACTCAAAATTTTCAGCTATTGCAAAGTGCTTTTGACAATTCATGCTTGAGGGAGTCAGTCAGTCATGGTTTGTTTTTCAGAACGCTTTTCAAATTGTAGCTGAGGGAATACAAACAATGAGGAGAATTTTAGGATGCTGTCTTCAAAAGCAGTTCCACTGGATTATATTCACACATGAACATCTGAAATATAATTGCATAACAGCATCCCAACTGTCAAATGAAGAAAAGTGCCTTCAAACAACACTGGTCATTTTCTTTTGATGAAATTTGTGAGAAAAATGACTTAATAAGCAGTGGACGTGTTATCTATAATGAACAACTGACAAAAGAAGCATTGTGATAGCATAGAATTTTTAGAAATATTTTCTTTTAAGGATCAAACAAAACATTATGGTTTGCATCTAATGTTGTTTTCTCAAAAGAGGTTTCAGGTTCCCTTGACAGTGGTACTCATCAGTCTTGAGACTAAGATGCATATTTTTGTGGCATATCAATTTATGATTAAAGTAATTGTGAATAAACATTCATTAGCTGATGATTAAATGAAATACAATTGCTTATAACCTCAGCAAAGTGATTGCCAGTTAATAAATTCATGATATATCCTGCATTAATTAGTGCATCCTATCATAATAAGTTATAATTATGTACTTACATGCATGTTTTGTGCTCTTATTGTATTTAGGCATATTTTTCTTATCCCATTCAGCCAGTTGCATTCTTTTTGATCATGGAACTTTTTTGCTCCCCTAAGTAATCATGGTTATTTCTGGCTCCGTAAGGCGGAAAAGGTGGCATTTGAATCCCAAACTCATGGTAACATCACTGAGGCTTTCTCCGACTTGAAAGTACCATTCGGACCAAAAACAGTTGATAATGTTGGGTACCATTCTCTGCTGTGATCATGTTTGAAAGAGAAAGCTTTACAGCAGGTCATGTGCATAAAAGGCTGGTGTACTTCTTGCTTTTAGTTAAATTTTGATGCTATTAAGAGAGAATAAAAATGTAAAATTTAAGGAGAAATCTGTTTCCTGTAGCATTAACAGTTACCACAAAAGAGGTGGTCAGACAGTATAAAAGAAAATAATAAATAAATACTTTATTTTTGTCCCAGTTTTCCTTTCATCTTGACTATTTTTATCCTGCACAATGTGATCCCAGTGATGTTGTTTGATACTATTGATGTCACAGTTGTGGTTTAGATTGGGCAATCCTTTTGTATTAGAGCAATAAAATGGTCTATTTATAATTATCATTATGGCCAATGTTTTAGCTCCGGATGGCCCGAATACTGTGAACACATAACATTTATCTTCTTTACCCAGACTTATTATATTAATGACATACACTGGCAATAAAATCAAACATCTGGATTATGTCACACATAGAGGGGTAGTACAATTACTACCTTTCTAAATTTCTCCTGCTTATCTGTATGTAAAAGACATGTTCAGACATCTGCCGTCAAAAATTTCAAGCCGGCCTTTATGATGAAATAAATTAATAATGTCCAGCAGCTTACTCATTACAAGACACAGATATGTCCTTTATACCAAGCCTTAGAATACCAACACCTTCCCACAGATGAGTGAAAGACCAGGTCCACGCTGGATGTCATGCACCACTGCTAAATGTTACTTCACTCAGGACCAGTTTGCATACAAGTTTTGTCAGGCTGTGTGACTGTCCACAGAGGACTGAACAGGCCTGTCAGGATGGTGAGAGGCTGTCACCATCACTCCGGCGACCAGAGGAAACATACATTAGCTTATGCCGGCTAGCAAGTCTTCCTAATGTGTGAAATTGCTCATGTAGTTCAAAAACACTCCTCAAACACTTGTCCCATCGGATACTAGTGTTATAGTCAAGACAAAACGTCTCTCTGCGGAGTCCAATTAACCGTAATTACGTTAAAAATTTTAGAAATTACATTGTGCTCAACCGGCTACCAAGATAATGTTAGCTTCAGTTAGCAAAAAGCTATGAGGAATCTTAACTAAACTGACAGTTTCAAATTTGACCAGTGTTCACTAAAAGCTTAACCCAGGCAAGGTTTTTATGGTAACGAATATTTATAATGAGGGGCATTTCAGTTAATCTTTTAAACGAGGCAAAGATAGACTAAGTGATACCATTAAGTTTCCAACACTTTCCATTAAGCTCGCTCGGTTTCTGCCACTAATCATTAAAAATAACTCTGTGTTGAGAGTCACTTTAGCTGTTTTCATGCATAAATTGAAAATCTGTGTTTTTTCATGAACATTAATCACCATTATTTCATTTTAATACAAAGCAAAATAGCAGGGATACTTGACCAACTCAAGATTTCTATCCATGGTGTATGGCACAACCGAATCTTGGAGATGGGGGTGAAAATAGAACCTCTTCTGTTTTATGGTGAGTCAGAGCTTGGCAGTAAATGGAAATGCTCTAAAGTATTTAGCGTTGTAAGAACACATGCCAGGAATACAGATGGTCTGGATTGGTCAGTACAGACTGTCAGTGTGTGCTTGGTCTGTGATGAGTTTCCGTCTCTTTTTCCCCGATCTATAACGCATAATCATTTAATACATTGTAAAAAAAAAAAATCACATGTACAAATCTGTATGAAATCTGTACGGTCTCTGGTATCCCCATTTTAGCTCCTGCTCATTACTGTCGATGTACAATTGTGTTTGAAACAACTACAGAGCAAAAACAATTCCTTCCTTAGGGACTCATACATTTGGCCTCAAATCAAACTAATACCTGCTTGGATTTTGTCTTTTTTTAGACTTTATACCTTTGCTTATTTAGTGTGTTTTGAGAGTTTGAGCAAACTTGTAAAGGAAGTTTCGAGGCTGAATTTACTTTGAATTTGATTAATTACCACAAAAATTATATGTAGTTAGAAAAAAGTCTGTGTTAAAATCAGTAAAAGGTCAGGCCTTTGTCAGAAATTAACAATTGAAACAATTGCAGTGTTTTAGTCTGTAGAAGTTCTGAACACTTGGCAAATAAATTCAATTTAAAGTTTTATTTAGTTATGTAGGACTTATGTAGGAGATCAAGTGGCGCCATTGTAAACCTTTGTAAAATGAAGATCATTGCGTGTTTTAGTTATTTTCAGCTTCCATGTGTGTTTTGTTTTAAATGCAGTGATCTCCACAGTTCTGCATAAAGCACTGTTCTGACATAATCATTATTTCAAGTTCAGGCCATTAGAATTTAATGTATTTAGTGGTGGCCTCGATATTCACTCATACTTAAGCTTTTCTTAAATGAAATGAAAATGGTAATTAAAGCCCACTTTCTCTGTTTTTCTTCTAACTGCCCGTAAAGGGTAACGAGAGGCCAGGCCAAAGGCCTGATGGGGCTGCCGTAGGGTGGGGCGGCCGTATGACTGTGCCGGGGTTGAGGGCACTGAGAAGGCAGAGTCTGCTCAGCTGAGAGCAATGTCTCACCCAGGTATCAGAATTTCTTCAT